AGAATACAGCTGATAAATAACAATATATATAATTTGGTGTAACTTAAGAGTAACTAGAAAAATATAACTCCATTATTTGAACTGCAGTNTACCTTGTGTGTATAACAATGTTGTCTACCTTGTGTGTATAACAAGGTACAATTCCCGTGTATAGTCTGTATGTAAACGTATAATGTTGATCTGTATGTAAAGTAGATGTCTAAAAATTGGTTGATTTTGCTGGATACTAAAATTATCAAATAATTTTAAGTGTCGATGCTATGCTATCGTAACGCTGTTTTATTGTACAGGTGCATTCTCGGTACAGGACAGTATCTACCTATTTAAACAACAGCGCAACATTGTTTTGGCGTTTGAAAAGGCCAAGGAATCGGATCAGAAGGAATATCTGAACGCAAAGAGATCAACATACGAAAAGTAATATTTCAATTATATTAACATTCATAACAAACTATGTTATACATAGAAGTCTCAATGCCTTTGTAATTGAAGTTTCTATTTTCTTTTTGTAATACATACATCGGTACATGTATGTTGCATTATTCGAGTGATACCTTTGCCTAAAAAAAAGTACATTATAATTGTTTTACGCTGCTTATTCTTTATACATATATTTCAGACTCTTTCTGGAGGAATTCAAGAAATGGCACATTGATGATCCATATGGAATTAAATTGGGCCAGGCATTGATAGATTATACAGAGTATGAGAAAAACGTAGTTCTGACTCATGATACTATTTATTTCCTTGTTGCGATGTGTCCCTGTTTAAAACTCTGGCCTTGGTTGGGAAAGGAGATCGCCGATGTAAGTGTAGTATTATACTCCTATAACTAAACCTTATACAAGACATCAATCTTTTAAACAAACACTATTATATTATACCCTACAAATTTGTTATTATTTACACCAATATCGTCATACCATACACCAGTCTCAGTTTTACACGACACCAATATCCGTTATACCTTACACCAATGTCAGTTATACCATACACCAATATCAGTTCTACTTTTCTCTATTTGTGTACACTACATCAATCTTTTAAACAAACACTATTATATTATACCCTGCAAATTTGTTATTATTTACACCAATATCGTCATACCATACTCCAGTCTCAGTTTTACACGACACCAATATCCGTTATACCTTACACCAATGTCAGTTATACCATACACCAATATCAGTTCTACTTTTCTCTATTTGTGTACACTACATCAATCTTTTAAACAAACACTATTATATTATACCCTACAAATTTGTTATTATTTACACCAATATCGTCATACCATACTCCAGTCTCAGTTTTACACGACACCAATATCCGTTATACCTTACACCAATGTCAGTTATACCATACACCAATATCAGTTCTACTTTTCTCTATTTTTGAACCCTAAACCAGTCTCCGTTATACCATACCCCAATATCAGTTCCACTTTTGTCTATTTGTTTACCCTAATCCAGTCTCCGTTATTCCATACACCAATATCAGTTCTACTTTTCTCTATTTGTGTACACTACATCAATCTTTTAAACAAACACTATTATATTATACCCTACAAATTTGTTATTATTTACACCAATATCGTCATACCATACTCCAGTCTCAGTTTTACACGACACCAATATCCGTTATGCCTTACACCAATGTCAGTTATACCATACACCAATATCAGTTCTACTTTTCTCTATTTTTGAACCCTAAACCAGTCTCCGTTATACCATACACCAATATCAGTTCCACTTTTGTCTATTTGTTTACCCTAATCCAGTCTCCGTTATTCCATACACCAATATCAGTTCTACTTTTCTCTATTTTTGAACCCTAAACCAGTCTCCGTTATACCATACACCAATATCAGTTCTACTTTTCTCTATTTGTGTACACTAAACCAGTCTCCGTTATACCATACACCAATATCAGTTCCCCTTTTGTCTATTTGTTTACCCTAAACCAGTCTCCGTTATACCATACACCAATATCAGTTCTACTTTTCTCTATTTTTGTACCCTTCACAAGTTTCCGTTATACCATACACCAATGTCAGTAACATACACTATTTGTATACCATACATCCGTATCCGTATTATAACACTGATCGCAATTGTACCATTCATCAGTCTCCGATAAACCATAGAACTCTTTCTTATTTCATACACCAGTCTTCAATATACATGTATCATATATTGTTCGTTTACATATTCAAAAGCGTATAGTGCAATCACAAGGGTTTGCAGTACATCAGAATCACAAAATTGCTTAAATCATCCAGATATATTGGATTGCTACACAGAACGACGAAAACAAACAATATATGCATGTCTAAGAAAATATCGGAAGAAAAAATACATCCTTTAGTAAATATCGGCACATACCTACATATATCTATAATACATGATGTTGGTAGCTATTGGTACAAACAATGTATACATCTATAAGTAAATATCGGCACATACCTACATATATCTATAATATATGATGCTATTAGCTATGACCTCATTATTGTTATGCTTTTACAATAAGGTGTTCGTCACATACATCACACGTAACATTGCCTTCTCTGTTACTGCAGGGAGATCACGGAATATACACGCCATGGGCAAAAGCGAACTTTGACCCCACCTATGTAGGCTTCGAGAAAGTCGACAAATTGATAGACGAAGCTGAGGCAATGGGACAGATTGATCGTAATTTAGCCTTGGAGGTCTACAACAAATGTATGAACGGAGAATACCAGTTTTTCAATTCTATATAATGGTCTGTTTTCATGGATGAATAAGTCTGTGACGGATCAGGAAAATTCTAGCTTCTTATGTACAATATATCTGGGTTAGAAATATCTTCCGAAATGAAGTGTTTTATATCGTATGCATGTATGCATGAATTGCCAGATTACATAGAAATGTAAACAAAAATGCAGAATGCTTTTACTAGTACAAACGGACTGATATATTTTATATAATCATTTTATGCTTGTAATAAATCAATGGACATATTCGTAATGTTGAAGTTGTTTTTAGACAGTTTTAATGACTTTACATGTAAAGGTAATGTACGGGTATACCCTGTTGAACACAAAAACAGATTGTAGAATATATGATGTATAAAACTACTCCGGGGAAACGAAGGCGTGCTAGACTGGATTTACCTTCAAAGTATGTTATATCTATCGAACATATCGTTAAAAAAAGTTCACAGACTGATATTCAAAATGAAAACCAATCACGAGTGTGTCTTTCCTAGGATCGTTATCCAAACCACTTCCGCCAATCTGCATTGTATTGTTAGCCTATAGAACACCTTATATATGTTTTCCTTTGTTGAAACCCTACTACAATACTTTCCAGACTGTCGAAAGACGAAAGAATTGCTTATTAAGAATCTGTAATGCAATCCTCCCTAATATCAGTTATGGGCACAGACCAGCTAATAAAGGTATAAAGTACCCCTTTACCTGTAAATACAATTGATGTAACTACTTCTTTTGAACAAGACGTAAGAAACAGCTGCCAATCTACCCTAACCAGTAACTAGATTCTCCGCTAGAAGGACAGAGACAGTGTATTTAGACAAATATATACATGTTTTGTTATGCATACGACAGGGGACAAATGAAAATATATCAGGAATATTGGTCTCATTTGGTCAGATTACGAGATGATAATTACAGTTCAGCACATCAAAACTCCTTATCATTACAGGAATTATTTATTAATTAAGTACCTACATCAAATCATTTCCGTCAATGAATACTTGTTACGGTATCTGAATAAAACTATTTCGATAGGTTTAAATGACATTTTATACCACCATAATTCATATTTGATTGTCTCACTAATGGACGTATGACTGAGGTTTAGAAGTGGCAGACGTATAGGTGTGTGCCAACAAGTTTATGAAGGAGGCAAGAAAAGCAGGCACATCTAAGATGAGACTTTTACGTGTTAAAAGTGAATGAAAAATGCAATAAAATAGAGTTGTCAGCATCTCCGACAGTACTGATGACATGATTAAGGGACTTTTGAGTAACCGTACTTATAGCCCTCGACGTACAGGGTATCGATATGGTAGCAATCACCTACATAACTGTTGACACATCTTCAGCTTCAACGACCGATAGAGTCTTGGTAACGGACGACGCAATGTCGCGCAAATAGATTGCTTCTGTTTTCCCCAAACTCTTTTCTGAGCAGCAACAAACGGATGCGTCGTTAAGGTGACCCATTCATGAGCATAATATGGCGAGTTTCATAACTGACATAACCCAATTTTACAATTCTGAATGACAATAACGTTAAAGACAATGGTGGTGTATCTCTTTGTACATTGTGCTTGTATGATTGTACCAAGGGGGACATTTCTATGTTTGCACATATTGAGGGATTTTGTGCCGTAGTACACGCGGGATGTTACATGGACATTTACTATAGAACCAAAACACTCTATCAGAAGGGTCGGTTTTGTTGTTGAGTAGTTTTAACATTTCTACTGTATAAGATGGAAAGTCTGTCATGTACATTTAACGATCGGACATGGCCTCCTCCTTGATAATGGTGTCTTTTCTGCATTCTGTTGCTTAAAGACGCATATTCTATACCTTCCTCGTTCTCCTGAAACTGAACGAATAAAACTGGTGTTGGGACAAGTCTAACTTGAACGTATAGTGGACGAGTCTAACTGGTAGTGGACGCGTATAACTAGTAGTGGACGAATCTAACTGGTAGTGGACGAGTCTGACTGGTGGTGGTACGAGTCTAACTGATGGTGGTACGAGATTAACTGGTGGTGGACGAGTCTAACTGGTGGTGGTACGAGTCTAACTGGTGGTGGTACGAGTCTTACTGGTGGTGGTACGAGTGTAACTGATGGCGGTACGAGTCTAACTAGTGGTGGTACGAGTCTAACTGGTGGTGGTGGTGGTACGAGTGTAACTGCTGGTGGTACGAGTCTAATTGGTGGTGGTACGAGTCTAACTGGTGGTAGTCCGAGCCTAACTGGTGGTGAAACGAGCCTAACTGGGGTGGTACGAGTCTAACTGGTGGTGGTGGTGGTACGAGTGTAACTGCTGGTGGTACGAGTCTAATTGGTGGTGGTACGAGTCTAACTGGTGGTAGTCCGAGCCTAACTGGTGGTGAAACGAGCGGTGGTACGAGTCTAACTGGTGGGGGTACATATCCGAGTCTAAATGACTGATGGTGGTACGAATCTAACTGGTGTGGGTACATGTACGAGTCTAACCGGTGGTGGTACGAGTCTCTAACTGGTGGTGGTACGAGTCTAACTAATAATGGTACGAGTCTAAATGGTGGTGGTACGAGTCTAACTCTGTACGAGTCTAACTAGTGGTGGTACGAATCTAACTGATGGTGGTACGAGTCTAACTGGTTGTGGTTCATGTACGAGTCTAACTAGTGGTGGTACAAATCTAACTGGTGGTGGTGCGAGTGTAACTGATGGTGGTACGAGTCTAATTGATGGTGGTCCGAGTCTAACTGGTGGGGGTACATATCCGGGTCTAAATGGTGGTGGTACGAGTCTAACTCTGTACGAGTCTAACTAGTGGTGGTACAAATCTAACTGGTGGTGGTGCGAGTGTAACTGATGGTGGTACGAGTCTAATTGATGGTGGTCCGAGTCTAACTGGTGGGGGTACATATCCGAGTGTAAATGGTGGTGGTACGAGTCTAATTGATGGTGGTACGAGTCTAACTGGTGGGGGTACATATCCGAGTCTAAAGGGTGGTGGTACGAGTCTAATTGATGGTGGTCCGAGTCTAACTGGTGGGGGTACATATCCGAGTCTAAAGGGTGGTGGTACGAGTCTAATTGATGGTGGTACGGGTCTAACTGGTGGTGGTACATGTACGAGTCTAACTAATGATTGTACGAGTCTTACTGGTAGTGGTACATGTACGAGTCTAACTGGTGGTGAAACGAGTCTAACTGGTGGTGGTACTAGTCTAACTGGTGGTGGTTCATGTAAGAGTCTAACTAGTGGTGGTACGAATCGAACTGGTGGTGGTACGAGTCTAACTGGTTGTGGTACGAGTCTAACTGGTGGTGGTACTAGTCTAGCTGGTGGTGAAACGAGTCTAACTGGTGGTGGTACTAGTCTAACTGGTGGTGGTTCATGTACGTGTCTAACTAGTGGTGGTACGAATCGAACTGGTGGTGGTGCGAGTCTAACTGGTGGTGGTTCATGTACGAGTCTAGCTAGTGGTGGTACGAATCTAACTGGTGGTGGTGCGAGTGTAACTGATGGTGGTACGAGTCTAATTGGTGGTGGTACGAGTCTAACTGGTGGTAGTCCGAGCCTAACTGGTGGTGAAACGAGCGGTGGTACGAGTCTAACTGGTGGGGGTACTGTACGAGTCTAAGTGATGGTGGTACGAGTCTAACTGGTGGGGATACTGTACGAGTCTAACTGATGGTGGTACGAATCGAACTGGTGGTGGTGCGAGTCTAACTGGTGGTGGTTCATGTACAAGTCTAACTCGTGGTGGTACGAATCTAACTGGTGGTGGTGCGAGTGTAACTGATGGTGGTACGAGTCTAATTGATGGTGGTACGAGTCTAACTGGTGGGGATACTGTACGAGTCTAACTGATGGTGGTACGAATCGAACTGGTGGTGGTGCGAGTCTAACTGGTGGTGGTTCATGTACAAGTCTAACTCGTGGTGGTACGAATCTAACTGGTGGTGGTGCGAGTGTAACTGATGGTGGTACGAGTCTAATTGATGGTGGTCCGAGTCTAACTGGTGGGGGTACATATCCGAGTGTAAATGGTGGTGGTACGAGTCTAATTGATGGTGGTACGGGTCTAACTGGTGGTGGTACATGTACGAGTCTAACTAATGATTGTACGAGTCTTACTGTTGGTGGTACATGTGCGAGTCTAACTGGTGGTGGTACATGTACGAGTCTAACTAATGATTGTACGAGTCTTACTGTTGGTGGTACATGTGCGAGTCTAACTGGTGGTGGTACGAGTCTAACTAGTGGTGGTACGAGTCTAGCAGGTAGTGGTACGAGTCTAAGTGATGATGGTTCGAGTCTAAATGGTGGTGGTACGAGTCTAACTGATGGGGGTACGAGTCTTACTGATGGTGGTACGAGTCTAACTGGTGGGGGTACATATCCGAGTCTAAATGGTGGTGGTACGAGTCTAATTGATGGTGGTACGAGTCTAACTGGTGGTGGTACATGTACGAATTTTACTAGTGGTGGTACGAGTCTAACTGGGTGGTACGAGTCTAACTGGTGGTGGTACGAATCAAACTGGTGGTGGTGCATGTACGAGTCTAATTAGTGGGGGTACGACTCTAACTGGGTGGTACGAGTCTGACTGGTGGGGGTACATAACCGAGTCTAAATGGTGGGGGTACGAGTCTAATTGATGGGGGTACGAGTCTAACTCGTGGTGGTACGAATCTAACTGGTGGTGGTTCATGTACAAGTCTAACTAGTGGTGGTACGAGTTTAACTGATGGTGGTAGGAGTCTTACTGATGGTGGTCCGAGTCTAACTTGTGATGGATCGAGTCTAAATGGTGGGGGTACGAGTTTAACTGCTGGTGGGACGAGTCTAACTTGTGATGGATCGAGGCTAAATGGTCGTGGTACGAGTCTAACATGTGATGGATCGAGTCTAAATGGGGTGGTTTATGTACGAGTCTAACTCGAGTGTAACTGATGGTGGTAGGAGTCTTACTGATGGTGGTACGAGTGTAATTGATGGTGGTACTGGTGGTACGAGTCTGAATGGTGGTGGTACGAGTTTAACTGGTGATGGTACGAGTCAAACTGGTGGGGGTACATGTACGATTGTAACTGGTGGTGGTACGAGTTTAACTGCTGGTGGTACGAGTCTAACTTGTGATGGATCGAGTCTAAATGGTGGTGGTACGAGTCTAACTGGTGGGGGTACATGTACGAGTGTAACTGGTGGTGGTACGAGTCTAACTGGTGGTGGTACGAGTTTAACTGCTGGTGGTACGAGTCTAACTGGTGATGGATCGAGTCTAAATGGTGGTGGTACGAGTCTAACTGGTGGGTGTACATGTACGAATGTAGAGTGTAACTGGTGGTGGTACGAGTCTAGTGGTACGAGTCTAACTGGTGGTGGTACGAGTTTAACTGCTGGTGGTACGAGTCTAACTGGTGATGGATCGAGTCTAAATGGTGGTGGTACGAGTCTAACTGGTGGGTGTAACGAGTCTAACTGGTGGTGGTACGAGTCTAACTGGTGGTGGTGCGAGTCTGTCTGGTGGTGGCACGAGTCTAACTGGTGGTGTTACGAGACTAACTGGTGGGGGTACGAGTCTAACCGGTGGTGGTACGAGTCTAACTGGTGGTGGTAAAAATCTAACTAGTGGTGGTACGAGTCTAACTGGTGGTGAAACGAGTCTAACTGGTGGTGGTACTAGTCTAGCTGGTGGTGAAACGAGTCTAACTGGTGGTGGTACTAGTCTAGCTGGTGGTGAAACGAGTCTTACTGGTGGTGGTACTAGTCTAGCTTGTGGTGAAATGAGTCTAACTGGTGGTGGTACTAGTATAACTGGTGGTGGTACGAAACTTACTGGTGTTGGTACTAGTTTAACTGGTGGGGTACGATTATAACTGGTGGTGGTACGAGTCTAACTGGCGGTGGTACAAATCTAACTAGTGGTGGTACGAGTCTAACTGGTGGTGGTACGAGTCTAACTGGTGGTAGTCCGAGCCTAACTGGTGGTGAAACGAGCCTAACTGGTGGTGAAACGAGTCTAACTGGTGGTGGTACGAGTCTAACTGGTAGTGAAACGAGCCTAACTGGTGGTGAAACGAGTCCAACTGGTGGTGGTACGAATCTAACTAGTGGTGGTACGAGTCTAACTGGTGGTGGTACGAGTCTAACTGGTGGTAGTACTAGCCTAACTGGTGGTGAAACGAGCCTAACTGGTGGTGAAACGAGTCTAACTGGTGGTGGTACGAGTCTAACTGGTAGTGAAACGAGCCTAACTGGTGGTGAAACGAGTCCAACTGGTGGTGGTACGAATCTAACTAGTGGTGGTACGAGTCTAACTGGTGGTGGTACGAGTCTAACTGGTGGTAGTACTAGCCTAACTGGTGGTGAAACGAGCCTAACTGGTGGTGAAACGAGTCTAACTTGTGGTGGTACGAGTCTAACTGGTGGTGAAACGAGCCTAACTGGTTGTGAAACGAGTCTAACTGGTGGTGGTACGAATCTAACTGGTTGTGAAACGAGTCTAACTGGTGGTGGTACGAGTCTAACTGATGGTGGTACTAGTCTAACTGGTGTTGAAAGTCCACGGTTCGTGCTACACAGAATATCTGACCGTACTTAAATTTGACCTTTTTTCTGTTTGCAAGGTAAGTAGCTATTTTTACAATTCAAAATCGGTTATAATGTCTTTTGTTGTCTTGGTATATATTTATACTACATGTACCTTGTCATGCGTTTCTGTGGTCCGTTAACAAACTTAACATCGCATCTGTAAATCATTTGTCATGTTCTTTGTCGATCGTCTGTCTATGGCTTCCTAGTATGTTGTCAATGCTCTGTAGTTAGTGATGGAATATATGACAATGACGACATCGACATGGGTTAGGCAATTTATTCAGCTATTTATGTCGACTTAGCGACATAGCTGTTATGACAAGTCATTCAATTTATCATGATAGCGAGATAGTTATCACTGGAAAATGACACCGTATCTGTCAAATATTTCCCAAATGTCCCTTAATTACCACTTTTATGGGTTATATGGAATTATTGTGATACTCTCCCGATGGTTCCCTTAACAATCCCCTTTTCGATGTTTGTTTGGCCCATTCGGTCACAACCCACTGCACCGCCGGTAACGTCTGTCATGCCGATTCTTTCACCGAATTTGATTAAAATTCAATATATTTTGACACCTATATGTCTTTGTCTACATAACACAATATTTTGCAAGATTCAAGATTTTCAAGATTTTTTATTACGCTCCGACACACAAAGTGTGTAACAAGAGGTCAAACAAAATAACATCCATCAAATAAAACATGACAGAGAGAGTAGATTACACATGGACAGATTCAGCATTATTTCATAGATAGATTCAGCAATATTTCATAGATAGATTCAGCATTATTTCATAGATAGATTCAGCAATATTTCATAGATAGATTCAGCA